GGTCATTATTCACTGAATAAAGCTTGTTAGGTCAGTCTCCCCGTCTGCTTGATTTTCAGACAACCTTATCAAGTGCATTTCATTCATGTTTAGTTTTATTCTTAATACAACAGAAGGAATCTTTAGGAAATTGGAAAGTTTACTTAATTATTGCATTGCTAGAATATTATATATCATTGGCGGGGGAGTGCTATATTTTCGTTGTAGGACTATGTAATAGGTCTGATATATGTATACACCATATGAAAGTTTAGCATACCTATAACAGATCATGTAAGAATTAAAAACAGAATAAAAGCATGACAATTAATATGTATTACCTGGTTGTCTATTGCTACTTTTAAGTAACTTAACACAATTAAGAGTGAAAACATACCTTTCCAGGATTGGAATTGTTCTAGCTTTGGTGATTCCAGTAGTAAAGCAGGCAGATCATGTTACTAGTGCTCATTTCTCCTGCAAAATTGGAATCATTTCACAGTACTGTAACGTAATGAGAAATACTTTTAAAATTTCAAGTAGAAAAGAAAAATCAGTCATAAGTAGAAGGTGCCCAAGAACATGTTAACTATTTTTACATTAGTAAGAATCCAGAAAGTAAAATATCTAAGGCCCACAATCTGTTGATTCTTGTAAAGTTGTTATATTTTAAAAATCCAAGCTTAAAATTGGATACCTAAGAGGTTTAATTATTTCACGTTTCAAATGTCACACTTTGCAAAAGGATTCTTTTTGTTTTTTTTAAAGATGAAGCCCTGGACTTTGAGTAAATCACTTGTTCAAAAAAGAGAGTAAGACATGTCTATATTGTAGAAGAATGAACTAATTAGGACTTTTAAGACCATAGTTGTAACTGCCAGTTTCATCTTTATTAAAGGCATAAAGTTATAGGAATATATTTTTAAGAACAAGTGCATGTATTCTATGCTAATATAATAAGGTCAAAAGCTTTGATAAGAGTAATATATCTTCATTTATACCTCACTTCATTATACAAAGGCTTTGTGGATAACAATATATTAATCTGACCTGTGATATTCTGGTTTCTTTTCAGAGTGGCATCATAAAAATAAATGATAAATGCAATTTGGTTGCGTTATAGAGCCTGGGAAAGAGAGGTTGTGTGTGTGTGTGTGTGTGTGTGTGTGTGTGTGTGTGTGTGTATTTCCATGCACATGTGTTTAAATTGGCTTTTAGTAGGTTGTAGGTTTACACTTACATCTTTCCTCTTCTATTAAAATACTCCTTACTTGACCAGTAGAATGGAAGGAAACATTTCAATTCTACAAAAATACAGTGTTTTTGTATGGAGAGTATTAAAAGTTTCCTATACAAACCAGTAAAGCAAAATTTTAACTCCTTGCCAGAAGTATATTGAAGATGTAGTACTCTCTGTTGTGCTTCAAAGTAAGCTTAGGAATTGTGTAGTTGGCTGGGTTATGCACCTTTAAGCAAGTCAGTTAATTTTTTTTTTGTCTGAAAAATAGGAATTATCATACTTTTATATGTGAAAGTGCTTTTGAAAAACTCTATGGCCAGTCTAAAATTTTGAAGATAATATGTTCTAGCGTTGTCAGTTTGCTAAATGGCCAAAAGAAGGTTAAGCTATCTCCATTTTCTAGGAAGTACTTGATCTATCAAACTGTTTAAGCTTCACCTTCCTCTTTTCCCAGAATGTATGACATTTCTAATCTTCTAAAAATGTTTTAGACTTTTGGAAGAATTAAAGTAGTTCTTCTGTAAGGTCAGAGAAACTTAAGTAGTTCAAAGGAACTTATGTAGTTCTTCCAAGGTTTGACTTGATGTGTTTAGAAATGCTGTGTTGCTAATTACCAATCTTCACCACGTCTGTGTTCCCCTGTTCCAGTTTTTGGAGCAGAGATGTATAGATAAAAGACAGCTTTGTCTCCCTTCCTGGGCTCAGGTAGTGTTACAAATAGTGATACCCTTTTTCCCGAGAGAGTGTTATATATAGCAGCTCCTTTACCTTGGACAATAACATGTTTGGGGTTCTCCTAGTTTATCAGGCTAGATGGAGTTACGACAATTAGCCTAACAGTCATTTTACATTATGGTATGATTATGACATCAGTTATAAATATTTTTCTATCCACTCTGTTGTTTTGGTTTTTCTCTGCCCTACTTCTCTGTAACTTAGTACAGTTCTCTTAAAGTTGAACACTAAGAATGGATAAAGAGATTGTGGCACATCTACACAAAGGAATACCACTCCACAATAAAGAGGAGTGGATTACTAATATGTGCAACAACATGAGTTCATCTTCAAAACACTTTATGATTCCATATATATGAAATTATGGGATAGACAGTAGCAACAGAAAAGCAGATCAGTAGTTGTCAGGGGGTTAACTGCAAGAGGCAGGAAGGAACTCTTGAGAGTGATGGAAATGTTCTGTCCTGACTGTGGTGTTGGTTATATGGGTGAATACATTTGTCAAACTCATTGAACCCCATACACTTAAAACTGAGTACACTTTTTTGGTGAGGGAGATTGGCCATGAGCTAACATCCGTTGCCAATCCTCCTCTTTTTGCTGAGGAAGACTGGCCCTGGGCTAACATCTGTGCCCATCTTCCTCCACTTTATATGGGACACCGCCACAGCATGGCGTGACAAGTGGTGCATCGGTGCACGCCCAGGATCCGAACCCAGGCCGCCAACAGTGGAGCGCGCGCTTAACTGCTACACCACGGGGCCGGCCCCACCAGTCTTCCTCTTTTGCTGAGGAAGATTGGCCCTGAGCTAACATCTGTGCCCATCTTCCTCTATTTTGTATATGGGGTGCCACCACAGCATGGCTTGCTGAGCGGTGTGTAGACCCGCGCCTGGGATCCAAACCTGCAAACCCCGGGCTGCTGAAGCAGAGCACATGAACTTAACCATGGAGCCACCGGGCCAGCCCCGTAAAACTGAGTACATTTTATCATATGGAAATTATATTTGAGTGAAGTTGATTAAAAGAAAGTTAAACACCAAAGTCTAAAATAGAGCATGAGTAGTGAAAAATGTAAGAAAGTTTGGTCAAAAAGTATACTCTCACTCAAATTAGCAGTATGGCAGTAGCCCACAATACATTATATTGAATAGTTTATTTTGAATGTCACTGAGTAGATGTGAAAATTTGTGCTAGTGTCCATTACTGTATCGTTGTCGGTGTAAAGACACTTTAGTACTACATGGACTAAGTAATATTAGTGACAAAAATACAACGGTTTTCAAAGTGCTTTATAAGTGAAAGCACTTTATGTTTCTTGGAGTGTTTTAATGTAATGTGCACTCATGGTTTTTTCTCTCTAAATTGTACGTTTTTTAGTCTCTTCTGACTTAGTCACACAATTCAGATAGATAACTATAATTTAATATTTTGTGAAATGTTATTTAAAAATAATTTCTGAATTTTTTAAATATTCGAAAATAGTGATACTAATTAGCTGAATATATTAAGCTAGCTTTATGTTCTGTTCATATGCCATGTCTGTCTTTCAGGTGACGGGAGTGTGTGCCCAGGCAAAGATAATATAATATAGAATATCAGGCATAGATTTGTGATCACATCAGATAATTCTGGTGATATGCTATATAGAAAATTGACCTAAAAACAAAATTGAAATTTAAGAAACCCTTAGGCCAATCTTCTTTCTCCACTTAAAGTTTCATTCTTTGATCCTCTTATGCTAGATTGAAGAGTCTAGATATTTTGGGTGGTCGGGGGGGGGAAGGCCTGAAAGGTATGGTTTAGATTTCTAAATGGTAATGCCTGTCTGAACATAGATTTTTGTCTTTATAGCTTCTGTTTTGTGTTTAAAAATTCTTGAATAGCTTGCTTTTAGCAACTTTATTATATATGGTGTATGGTATAAGTACCATCTCAAGTTGAAAGAACTGAAGTTTTAAATTAAGACTCTGAAGGTCAAGAAGATGTCTAGAATCCTTTTTAGCAACTCTTTCCCAGACCCTTAATTGGGGTTTTTAACAAAATCAAGAGTAAAGAATTTCTTATCTTTCTACTTTAGAGCAGTGAAATGATCAAATGCTAAAACTTCCTGGCAAAAAGCAAGTGATCTGGAGAATTGTTATTATATAATTGGCCTCTGACAAAGTTAACATCTATTTAAGATGATGCTGTAATTCTAATGGAAATATGCTTGTTGACTTCGGAGGCCTTCCCCTATTGGAGGTCTTTGTTTAGATAGAGCTTACCAACCAGTATGTCATCATGTATGATAGCATTGTTTGGGGAAGAGGAGGGTAGACAGATACTCCTGTGGCTTCTCTGTTGTTCATAAAATAGTTATAAACTGTACTTAATTGCTGTACCTTTTTAGAATCTGTTACTTCTATAAAGGTGTTAGTTTCCAGAATAGCATGTAAAGTGTGCTTGATTGACTTTTTCTCCCTAATTATACAGTATTCTGTAAATTGGACATTCTAATAACCTTGAGTTGAAGTGTATATTCCTTGCTGATGGGATGTTATAAAGAAAATAAAGAAAGCATTTTTTTCTGTCAAGCCTTATTGATGAACTTTATATAATATAAACTAGGTGAAATGGGACAGTGTAAAGAGAATGTAGTAAAGTGCTAAATGAAATTTAGTAAAGTCTTCAGATATATAGTGTGTACAAAAAAAATCTCTTTGCTTTAGTCAGTGGAGAGAAGTCGTGGAGGAGTAGAGATGTGAAAGCAACTTTTAAAGGGGTAGGTTTGAGACAAGAGGGACTGTCATTATTCATGGTGTAGGACAGCTTGCGTCAAGGGTGGGCACAGTGAGAAGATTTACCCTGAACCGGAATGCCGAGTCCCCCATTAACTTTCCGGTGAATAGGCTAAGTAAAGGCAAACTATGGAAGTCAGTTCTATAGAGGCCATGGGAAGATTGTATGGACTTTTGACCAGGATGATGGTCTGAAGAATTTTGAAATTTTTAATTTAAGATAACTTCTCTTTTTAAAATTTTACGTTTGTGTTTCACATGTATAGGTTTAAGAAAATCTACGAAGAAGCGCAGTGAATCTCCACCTGCTGAGCTCCCCAGTTTGAGGCGGAGCACACGCCAAAAGACCACGGGCTCCTGTGCTAGTGCCAGGTAGTAATTTGAGTTGTTCCAGTTTATGGTTAGCTGATTATCTGTATTCAAATGTCATCAAATTGCTTAACTCTATAAGTTTTTAAAAATTAGTAAAATTTTCATTTGAATATTGAGTAAAGAAATTTGTTCTAGTATAATCAGTAGTATTATTTTTGTGAATTCTTCCCCAATATTTATTTACATGTTTTTGATAAGTTTTAATCATGCTAGTTTTTGACAACACTTTTATCCTCTACCTTTTCCTCTGTTGCTACATTATTTTCAGAGTTGTTGCCAATAGTTGGACATTTGGTTGTTTTCAGAGTTTCAGTCTGCCAAGTAAAGCTCTGATGAGCATCTTTATGCAGATTTGGGTTATTTTTTAAAGGTAGCTAAATTTCCCAGTAGTGTGATTAATGGATCAAAAGGGATGTCTGTTTTAATGGCTGTAATATTGCCTAGTTAGTTTCTAAAAGTGTTGGCACCAGTTACGAAGTTTAATGGATGAGGGGGAGAGATGTACTTAATTTGCATTTTGTATTACACCACCTACCCCTCAAGGAAAAATGTAGGGTTTCTTTGGTGTTCTTTCACATCCCCAGTTCCCATTTCTCCCAGCTGCTGTTTTTGAGCTCATTTTCAGAAAATCAGCTCTCTTTGATGTGATGCTATATATTATTTCACATACTTTGATTAACTGATTGAGAATTTTCAGTGAAAATCTTTTTCTTGCAGTTCCATCTCAGATTTCCAGGCTTGGTTAGTTGGTCAGGTACCCTCGTGCTGCTAATTATCCACAGCTGTAGAGGACTTTTCCCTCTTTTATATGCAGTTTATTCTCTTTACCAAATGTGCCAAAACCAGTGATGGGGGTGAATGAGATGTTTGCCTTTTTCCTTCTCGAACTCAAGGAAGGAGAAAGGTTGTAGCACTTCCTCTGGTTCTTCTCTAAGGTAATTGACTTGGACTGCTCTTGTTGGTGGTGGGAACAATAGTGACATAAGGAAACAGTATGACTTGTTGCCTGTAAGTCGTAAGAAGAGGACTCCTGCCACTTTAATCTCTACTTTTCCACTTATTTTCTAGTTCTGTCTGGATTGTTTACAATACCTGTTTGCTTTTGAGGTTCCTTGGCAATATTTTTATGAGGACTCCTGAGAAAGTGTCTCAGCTCTTCAGAGCTTTTTGTTCTACATTGATTGGGCCAAATTTTGAATCCATTTTACCCAAGTGTTTATAATCTGAGATAGAGATTGAATTCACTGTGGTTGAAAATTAATTTTAAGCAATATGTGAAGTCATGTAATCTAGTGTCCTGTCTTTCTCTGCAGCCTTCTTTCCTTCTACTCATGACCTCTTTCTTAGTGCATGTGACATTACTTACAGAATACACAGCCATGCTGTTCACAAGCTATCTAGCCCCCTGCCTGGAGCACTCTTCATTTCAAACTTTCTCTGAATTAGTTGAGATTCCTCCTAAATTTAGTGCTTTCGTAGCCTGCTACAGCTGTGTCTTCATCTGTCTTTCGACTAACACTTCTTGAGGGCAGCATCCAGTGTTCAGCACAGTGTGTCACATGATTGGTGCAAATTAAATGTTAAGTAAACAAATTAATTTGAATCTTGTTAGTTTGTAGCTTGGTAAATTGAGTTTGGAATGAGCTATTTCCCTGTGAAGGAAAGATTGGCTAAGCAAATCTCTGTTTAGGGAGGAGTTTTTACTAATTGGTAGAACAAACTCTTCTAGTACTCTCCAGTAATTCAGAACCTTCACTTAAATGTCACTTACATCTGCTTCTTTCTGTTACGCAGCGTTTCATTTCACTGTAGTTTGACTTTAGTCTAAGACATTTTTTTAGTAGTAGATTTCTGCGTTTCCTAAGGTAATTTGGGGAGCTGCTGTTGAAACAATATTAAGTTGTAATAATTTGAGGAAGTCTTTTGTTTCTACCTCATTCTTTCTTACGTGTCTGATACTGTGCCTTAATCCTAAACAAGTGTCTTCCCAAATGTCATCTGTATTTATTTATAAATATTAAATCTTTTATTCTTTATTTGAGAGGATGGAGCTATTGTTCATTATTAGGATAGTTATTTTTTCATAATTTAAGTAATCTGGAATTTATGTGATGGGAATTTTTCCCCGTCTACTCCCCTCTCCATCCCCCCATCGTCAAGTATCAGCTTGAAAGTCTGTATATTGATCCACTATCGACCTAGGAAGTAGGGATCTATTTTAAATGAATTGAATTGTCTCCACAGAAGGAGTTACTTTTCCATTTAGTTGGAAGTGTTAAAAAGTCATTTCTGTCTATAGGGATGACAACAGCTCATAGCAACAACACAAAAGCTTGTATTGTGAATGTGATACAACTTGGAAGAATTTTAAATATACAAAGTCTTGGTTGTTACCCATAGTGATTTTCTGCAACAATTTTTATGTAACAAGAAGAAACTGGCTTTGTGCTCCATGCATTGGAGCTTTGTGCTGCATGGACATTGCTCCTGGTCACTGCTAGTGCTGCCTGTGATGGCATTTTTCTGTTGTAGTCGGCGGGGCTCTGGCCTGGGCAAAAGAGGAGCAGCTGAAGCTCGTCGCCAGGAGAAAATGGCAGACCCTGAAAGCAACCAGGAGACAGTCAATTCTTCAGCTGCACGGACAGACGAAACTCCCCAAGGAGCTGCAGGTAGATTGGCGCTTCTTAGCCCTAAAATGTGCATATGTACCTTACAGATTTAGTTAGAGACAAACTATTTTTTAAGTATGCCAAATATAATGGAAGAGAGGGAACAGAAATATATTAAATGTTACCATCAAATAAACTTTTTGTTCTCTTTTGTTTTGCTTTATAGGTTTGGGTTTTTGATTGGTTGGATTCATTTGTTGTTGTTATGTTTTAATTCTTTTCCAAATCCAAAGTTGTACTAATTATATTCATAGGGCTTTTAGGAGGGAGTCCCTTCCTGTTTAATCTTCTTATATATTGATGAGCACATGTAATAATTGCCTATTGATTGTTTGAAAAATTTAAATTCATAATAAGAATGTAAGGGTATGGTTTAAAATGCTTCAAACGTGTAAATTTTAATTTAGAATGTTGTAACCCCTAAAAAATAATAAGTATTCAGTTTGAATGTATGCAACTTTAAGAATGCTGTTTATATTTTTCTAGACTTATTTTTATTCTTCTTGATATCTAAGCACAGCAAAAATTAAGCTCCTCCCACCACCCTGCCATCAGCTATAAATGTATATCCATTACTAATACTGAAAGAAGGCTAATACTTTAGTGGTTAATTGTGGCTAACAAGTTTTAAAATGCAGTTTGTCATTAACATTTCTCACTAACATTAAGAACAGATACAAAAATGTTACATTTCATCGTTATGAAAATATGGATATGAGTCCCTTAAATTAGGATGATAGCACATAGGGTTTAGGTGTAGGCACATATATTTTTACTTTTGAACAAAGCTCTTTCATGTTTTATTGTTTAATATTAGAATATGTGCTAGTTTTTTTAATGCCCATAGTTGATCATATGTTCTAGTTTGCCAGGAAGGTTCCAGTTTGATCACTACTGTCCTTGTTTTATGCCTGTTGTCTCCCAGCTTTCTGTCCAGCTTAACATTTTTACCACTGATCTTTCCCAGTTTTATATGATAAATTACATGGTGAACTTACAGCATCTCTTCTGGTGGGAGGGACTCTTTTTCCCCTGCCTTTTTCCTAGAATAGTTTTTCCGAAGGGTTAAATGGTAGATTTTTGGAAAAATACAGTCAATTGCTCGTGTACCTCATTGAAGCTCTTTATGACACACAGCCTATCCTTCCCTGTGTTTTAATGTGTATTTCAAGTCTGAATATGGAAGTGGGGCAATTCCCACATGGATGACAGAAATGGAGCTGCTGAGTGTGTTGCTAAAGTGGACTCATTATAGTAATTAGAATAGCTAACAGAGTGTACACTCCATTGCAGACTTGAATGCACTTTTTTAAAAGCACTTTACATATATTTTCATTTAGTATTCAAAGCAACCTACTGGGTTGTGAGTACTATTATCCTCATTTTATAAATGAGGAAAAACGAAGACATAATGGTTAAGCTTGCCCAGAGTTACAAACTAGGATGTGTAACTCTCAAATCCAGGTCTTAGAAAAGAAGTACAGATTTATAACAGCTGTGTTGTTCTGCTTTCCTACGGTTACAAGAGTTTGTTTAATTCCTATGGATGTAATTGGAGGCCAGAATGAGGGGGTGGTGTGTAAAATTTTGTTCCCTGGTGTATTTACCTAGGAGGACAAAAGCTTCAAGGGATTAGGTTTATAAGACTGCCCTTCTAAGCACTCGCCTGTGTTTCATTGTCAGTCATATTTGAAATCACAGTGTGATCTAGATATTTTCCAAGTTGATGTAAAAGATACATGTAGCATGTTCACTGGTATTAAAGCAGCACTAGCTTCATTACATTTTAGAGGCTGGATCCCTTATGAATCCTACAGGAATTGCTCTGCCAGCTCACTAAAGTAGTTCTGGGGAAAGAGGCAGATTACTTACTAGCTTTATATTAAGTTCTTCAGTGTAATGTGCTTTAGTTTCTCAGTGTGTAAAATTGGAATTTAAAGAAAAATAAAACCCTCTAAGTTAGTGTAGAGTACAAATTGATGGTGGTAACTTAGAGCATCTTTTGGCAAGTATCCATTCTTAGATGGCTCTTATATACACTTGGTGTAAGACTCCCTTCATTTGAAACATTTTTTTGGAAATAATAGTTTTATTAATTTAAAGAGATTGATTTAATCCCTTCAGTATTACTTAAATACTCATTTTTTCAACGTTATTGATTTTTAAAGATCGTATCTTCCTGACCTCTTTCAATGGATTCATTGAAATAAGGGTATTTCTTTTTTCACATGTAGATATTAAAGCATTGCTCCATCTTGGGCAAACTTGCTTATATCACCCTGACTTTGCCAGTGTTGGTTACACTTAGGAAAGTTTGTTGATAATCCTCTCCCTGTTGGGTCACTCGGAAGGATCCTGTGATACGGAGATCAACCCTTCTAGCTCTTCATAGAAGAAATGCTAGCTCTTAAAGTTGGAAGTTAAGTGTTTCCCACGTTGTCCTGAGAGTCAGAGGGTTTAGTTTTGGACTTCATCAGAACAGTGCACCCCTTTATGGTGCTGATAAAGTCTTGCAAATGCTATAGATACTAAAATGGGGAATCAGGTATTCTTCACACCTGCAAAACAATCAAATGGTAAGAAAAAATGTTCCAGCACCTACATTTTGCTTTGGGAATCTTAATTTCACAAGAAATGAACAGGATCAGATTGTAAAAAGAAAGCAGCCCAGTTTTGTAAATTTTTCTCTACCTAATTACTTTTGTTTAATAACACTGCAAATTAGATTGCTACCATATCACCTGATGCCAGGGCCCATATAAGGCATAATTGCATTCCTGACAGCCATTCTCCTGGCCTTGCTCACAAGTTTTTGTGACACTAAAAAAATCTTTCTGTTGCCTCCTGTACTTAGGTATCTGATAAACCCTTAGTGGTTCCTGTCAAGTAAAATTAAATTCTATCAGCTTTCTAATATTTTATCTTTGCTTTCTATGTAGGAGGATGCATTGGTTAAAGTATAAAAACTTGGAGCTCCACAATCAAGTTCTTGTGTTCTAATTTAATATATTTTCTCCATTGTTTTCATTCAACTGTGTATTAGAAATTAGATGGTGCTGTGAAGATATGCTAAGACTAGATGAGAGAGATACTGGTTTAAACAAAAAAGGATTGACACCTCTTAGAGTCTGGCATTGGATTTTCTCTGCTTGATAGTCTTATTTTTATATTTGTGTCTGGTGACAGATCTTGTGCGTTGCCCAAGGAGGTTTGACACCTTGACTAAAAGAACTTTGTCATTGACTCCTATTGATTGATTACATTTCTTTACCTGCGTGACTTTACAAACAGCCACCTACAGGCGAGGCTAGTTTGGTTTATCTAAGATTGTAAAACTTAGAGAGCTACAGTGGACAAATGCTTAATACTTGCCATCAAAGGGCTGGCAAGGGATCCTTTTCTTTGGATCTAGTAATTGATTTCTGTCAAAATAGGCACTCCACCTCCATTAAAAATGAGAATATCCCTGCCCTTTCATGTAGTGGTTCTGTGGCTCCCTTAAGGTCAGGACCCCACTATAATAGTCTTAGCTGCTCTTTTAATTCTGCGCTTTTACAAGTTTTATGTCTTGGTTAATGTCTTTGTGGCAGCACAATTTGAGATGTTCATTATTCATTATGTAAGTCATTAGAATAACATGTTTAAGAAGTAACTTTAAGTTAAACTTTTTTTAAAATCATAGCTCGTAGATCTGTAGAATGTTTTAAATAAAACCAGTAGACCCTCTGATAAACTTAAAAAACAAACATTACCTTAATAAGTGAATTTTTGTTTTTTCTTAAAAAATGTATGATTCTGGAGTGTGCTTTAAAAAAACCAACTATTTCCTTTGTCAAAACTTTGTATTTGCTTTCACATAATTGGAAGAGTTTTAAAGCAAGTTTAAGAGCCACTTTAACAAATTCAGTCGTAATTGGGACCTAATAACAGTATTTGTTAACAAGGTTTCTGTATAATGTGAAGAAGCAGCTATACTTGAATTAAAAATTAGTACTGAAGAATATGTTTAAGGAGCTGATAGGGTACAGTTTGTAAGAGTACAGCCTATGAAGTCATACTGCTGGGGTTCAAATCTCAGATCAAGTACAAGTTCAATCTCAAGTACATTCTAAGACACAAAGCCTCAGTTTCCTCATGTGCATGATAAAGCTTATAACACCTCTTTGTATGGCTGTGAGGAAACACTTAGACACAGCCTGCATATAGGAAGCATTTAATAAATGCCACCTGTGAGTAGCCATTATAGTGTGCCGTTATTGATTATCTCTGTTTTCTTCGCCAGCAGTGTGGATTTTGCTAAACTCTGATACCCTTGACTATTAGCATTTCTGGTTAACCTGGAACTCGGAACCAAGGGGTTGCTAACATTTTCTGTAAAGGGCCAGATTGTTGATGTTTTAGGCTTTATACAGGCTCTGTTGTTGCATGAAAGCAACCACAGACAATATGTAAATGATGAGTTCAGCTATGTTTTAATAAAATTTTATTTACAAAACGATGTGTTAGACTGGATTTGGCCTGCAGGCCACGGTTTGCTGACTCCTGTTCTAAACCATACATTTTTCTATGAATTTTTTTAAAAATCCTGGTGAAATGATAGAAAATACTTAATGAGGTGTGAAGAAAAGTATTATAAAGTACGGAGTTGGTGGCTGATATATTAGTATTAGCATCTTTTTCTTCAGAAAAGCTTTTTAAATTCACATATGTTATCCTTGTGCCTCTTTGAACAGTAATGACAGGAATATTCTTCCTGGGTTGCATTCGGTCATTGTCAAGTGTGCAGACAGGGCTTAAAGTATTGTGGATGATGTGGTCATACATAGATTAATCGTATTTGTAAACCAGTGCTTTAGGACTCCATGACACTGAGAAGAGGAACAGTAAAACTGCTGGTTTTACAGGAATATAGTTTCATCTCCTGGTCAGATTCATAATAGAATCAACCTGTTTGCTTAGACTGAATTATTGGTCAGGTTAGCATTTAGTGTAGTAGAATCTTCTGAAGCTGAACTCTTCATTCTACCCTTGCTTTGACGTCTTAGTTGCCCTTTGTTTTTGTACTTCAGTGTTTCACAGTTATCTGTTAGTTGTAACGTGTATCAATACTATTTTGTCCTGGAAATGAAAGTATAATCTTTGCACACTCTTGGAATTAAACAGATAAGTGATTGTGTCAAGACTATCATTCAGACATAAGGCAGACTGAAGAAGGCACACATCTACGTGGAACCTTTCCCCCAAATGTCAGTTTTGCTTTCTCTTATGTTCGTGACTGTTTAATCACCTATTACATATCACAGTGGTTTTAGCAGTATTATTTTCATGGACTTTTGGTAGAGGAGTTCAGGGTAAGACTTAATTCAGGAACAGTTTCAAAGACAGGAGGAATCTGTCAAAGCTATGTATGAATAAATGCAAAACTTGTGTTTTTATGCTTAACACTAAGATGTTTGAACCATCCTTTTTTCATAAAAGCTACAGGATACAGTCTAGAAGATCAGCTGAGTGTGCAATGGGCACACATTTAATTGCCTTTTTCATTGTAGTCTGCAAAACTCTGCTTTTTCTTTTTTAAGATAAACCAGACATAATGAGTTGAAATGTTCTCTCCTAACTTGAACCTTCTTTTTCTCCCTCTTTGAAGCCTCTAGTTCTGTTGCAGGGGCTGTGGGCATGACCACCTCTGGGGAGAGTGAATCAGATGATTCCGAGATGGGACGATTACAAGGTAAAGACAGTTATTGAGCTTTCAAGAAACCATTACCATGGGCTGCCTGTTACTACTGTTCTTTGTTGAAATTAATTCAGATAAGCTCTTTTAACATAATCTAGCAATACCTGCACCTCCACAAAAAGCTTCTTATTTAGTGGTGATTAGGAAGTGGTAGATGATCTATCTGTCTCTTCATTTTTACTGTTTAGACAAAATCCTATATATTTGCTTTTTATGTTTTAAAAATTTTCTTCATTGTGGTTGCATGTATAGCTGGTAATGAATTAAGGAAGATCTTGAAAAAGGAGTAGCTTAATGTGTTGTTCTCTGGTACCTGATTACATAATGCACCTAATAGGGTGCTTTTTTGCCGTGGTGTTTTGTGTTCTTGATCATCTATTTCAAAATGAATGTAAAATGTACACATCAACTCCAGATATTTTAATGTTGTACGTGCTTTTTAAAAAGCAGCCTTATATTATGTGTACTCTCTTTACAAGTGGATGGGTATGTATTTTTATCATCTTTAGATGGTTGATTTATATAATAGATCCCCAATGTAAGGCACAGAAGTTTCAGATTGCTTTTAAGTTTTGGAAGGAACTTACAACAATTTGTTTTTGACTAGAAATCTCATGAACACAAGTTTTGCTGACTTTTTGGAATTGATGAAAGTAATTTTTCATGTTTTTAGATCATCTCATAACCAATATCTGATTGGGAAATAATATCAGAGGGAAAACAGCACAAGGGTGCTTAACATATAATTTCTTTAAAATAGGTATTTGAGTTTTCCTGGACCATTAACACAAGTTCCTGCTGGCACTGATATTTAATATTTGCATAAAACCTTAAGATGCCTTGGAGCTGGCACGTGGGTGCTATAACTTATATTAATTACATTAATATATATGAGCGGTCTTGAAAATTTAACACGTAACTTCTCTTAAATTCAAAATGGAAAGGAACATTGTCTAAATCAATTATGTGAGATGAATCAGTTGCTTGAAATTTTAGATAAGATCAGTTACATTAACAGCTACTCCTGCCCTTCTTTTGTCTTTAGCTCTGTTGGAGGCCAGGGGTCTTCCTCCTCACCTGTTTGGCCCTCTTGGTCCTCGGATGTCACAACTTTTCCATAGAACAATTGGAAGTGGAGCTAGTAAGTGAATACTTTTAAATTTGTCCTCCCCGAAGAAACCTTAATAATTAGTTGAGTGCTGTTTTTACTGTTTACCTATTGATGTAAGTTTTCATGTAAGAAACTTTTCATGAACTTTAACCTGTTTTTAAAAATAAGGTTTGTGCACCTTCTTGCCTTAAATACAGCAACTCTAAGATTTTCTTCTGTACTCTTATTTTTGATTGCTGAATTGGAATCATTAGAAAATCATCCAAAGTTTATGGCAAGATTGACTCTTTGTTTTGTTTTTTTTGAATTATAGAAGAGTAAAGAATCTCAGATGATTACATTATTACAGCATCTGATTGCATGATTTGCATAGATTTGAATCTTGAGTTTTTTTATAGTATAATACAGTTTAACCCATCAGACAGTCAATTGTAAGATGAGTCTGAGAAGAAAGATTTCTCAGCAAAATTACCAGTCTCTAGACTCACGTAATCAAATTAATGTGTTATAATTCAGAGATCTTGTCATGTATGGTAGACAAAACAGTGACTCTTGCAGTCTCAATTTGTAATTAAGTGTAACTTTTACATAATTACAAATCCAGTTAAGTTCTTTCTGGTATACAATACTATCTTTAGCTTCCTTAAGTAAAATTTACATTTAAGCATTTTAAAATAACTTCATCAATAATGTTTCCATGGAATTAGTAGGCTATTTGTAGATTAATTTCAGTCTTGATTAATTTCAAAATTCCTAAAGTGTTACTGAAGTCTTTTAACTCTGACCTTACTGATAGGTACTTATATAGTTTTCCATCAAAGACTCCAATTTTTTTTTAAATAATGCAGTGTGTGTATGTGTGATCACATATGTGTACTTGAGGCTTTTTCAAGTTCTGGCATTAGCATTTGACAGGAAATTTAAGAAGCAGCTGGTGTTCTTGTCTTTGTTTTGTTTTACTTTTGCTGCCCCATCACTCAGCTCTCAGATGAAACATAACCCTGTCGCAGAGTTCTCATGAACCCTTGAATGTGGATTTTTATTTAGTATCATTTATGAGGTAATATCTTTAAGTTATTTATTTTTTTAAGAGAAATTTTATTTCATTTATTTTACTACTTCATTTACTTCTGGGTAGAAGGCTGGGAAGAAAAAATATTGCAGTGCTACCTAATTAGCATTAAAACATCTCGAATCCGTATTAAGAGTTGACTGTTACACATGAAGTTAATGTAAACCATAGACTAGAACCAGAGTAGAAAACAATGTTCCACCCTTCCCTGCCCATGACCCAGCTTCAACAATGCCTACTTCATGGCCAGTCTTTATCTTTACCCTCACCCACATCCCTCCTGTCATATTAGTTTGAAATGAATCCCAGACATTATACAATTTTTTCTATAAGCATTTCATCACGTAGCTCAAGATAATGCCCCTTAACACACACACATATATACACTCAGGTTACTATTATTGTACCTGAAAAATAACCCAGTAATTTGTTAATAATAGATATCCAGTCAGTGTCAAATATTAATAATAGATATCCATTCAGTGTCAGATTTCAGTGTCTCATATATCATAAGCATATTTCTTGTAAACTGGTAATTAGATCTAGAGGCTTTTTCAGATTAGAGTTTGATTCTTTATTTTCTTCCCTTGGTGGGGAAAGACTATGCAAAAGTGGTAGTGTATTCTAATATTAGGATGTGCATAAAGTCTAATTGTCTCTTAAGCCGTCAAAACTCAGTGTCTAGAAAACAGGGGTTACAGAATAATAGTACTCCACGTCTAATGATCAGTCTTCATTTATTAGAAGTAAAAGAAGTAATTTAGTAGAAGTATATAAAGAATATCTCTTCTTTCTCTTTGGTTACCGAGGAGAATAGTTAGTATAGGAAAAATTATTTTCTCCCCTTTATTTACCAGTTTTCAAAATAGTTGGTTTTTGCGTCCTCCAAAGTGCCGTCGTTGAAGTATCATTGTAAGTGGGTTGAGACGTGTTTCAGACATTTCAGTGATTTTCACTGATTAAACTGCCCGATCATGGAATGATGGGATCTTTTTGAGATGGCCTCTGAATCTTTTTGATATGATCTCGGCAGTTTTTGATAACTTCCTTGCTTTCTGATCTGTCAAGCTCAGTTCTCCCCACCCAATACCTGAAATCAGGCATTTCCTCAGAGAGCCCTGTTTTCTTTTATATGACATGGTATTTATTTTTTTAATTTATTTATTTTGTGAGGAGATAAGCCCTGTGCTAACATCTGCCAATCCTCGTCTTTTTTTCGCTGAGGACGACTGGCCCTGGGCTAACATCCGCGCCCATCTTCCTCCACTTTATATGGGACGCCGCCACAGCATGGCCTGACAAGCGGTGTGTCTGTGCGCTCCCGGGATCCGAACCGGAGAACCCCGGGCCACCGCAGCGGAGCTCGGGCACTTAACCGCTTGTGCCACCGGGCCAGCCCCATGAAATAATATTTAGAGCCCACAGTCTGGACTCTGGATGTTCATTGCTCCTGGGTTGATGGTTGGTATTAGACACTTCTAATGGACAAACCTAGGAAATAATTGTATTTTATCTTTTAAAATAAAAATCATGAGTTCATACTGATACTGCCAATTCAGATTCAGGGCTGCATGGTTTTTAATTACCCTTATTTATCTTGTATCTCCTTTCTCTCATGTCAAAAGTTCTAGTTCCCAATGAAAATAACATAATTATTTATTTGCTTTATCCTACTACAAAATTTCAGCTTAACACCAAAAGTAGTAGTATTGAGAAAGGTTTAATTTTTAACAGTTCTTTTTCTACTCTTCAGATATATTTCACTTTGTGGTCAAATTTTTATATTTTAAAGTCATTTGAAATAATTTTTCTCTTTGTTCATGCCACCTTGGTTTGGCCCATTTGCTTCATTCTGCTTTTAATTTTTAGGCATTGCTTTTCAAATTTAATTTTACTTTTATTATTATGTGACATTTACATGATTCCAAAAGTAAGTCTACAAATAAGGTATATTTAGAAAAGTCTTTTCTTTTGCTGTCTCTTTACTGTTTCCTCCTTGACACAAATAACCTTTGTTAACTTTATGGCTTGTCCGTCTCTTATTTACTTAAGAAAACAAAAACATCCATATTATCTACTTCAGACACACTGCATTTCTTAGATAAGAATAGTAAACTTTACTTGCTTTACCTTGCTTTTAACAGTATATTTTGGTGTTCACTCTCCAGAGATGCTGCATATATTAGAGAGGGAGAGAAAGAGAGGAGATTCCCTGTTCCTTTTGTAGGACTGCCCTAGTCTCCAGTGTGTGGATGTACAGTTTATTTAGCCAGTTCCCTGTTGGACAGTCAGGTTATTTCTAGTCTTCATTGTGCTGCAGTGAAATACAGCTTTCCTGCTTTTTCCTGTGTTATCTTTAGAGTAGATTTCTAGAAGAGGGATTCCTAGAAGGGAGGTGCAAAAGGGTAAATGTATACCACATTTTGGCAGATGTTGTAAATCAGCCTCTTTTTGAGGTGTACCGTTTTACATTTGCATGTCATGTATTACAACAACATGGTGTCATTTTTTTTTTCCTGCTGCTAACTTTTTAGTTATATATTCTTGTATACTTCTTTTAGTGGTTACCCTAGAGATTATAATGCATATCATTAGTTTATTATAGCCTACCTTATAGTAATATTTTATCATGTCCCAAACAGTGCAAGAACCTTACAGCATTACCTCCTGCCATTGTTTATGCTCTTGTTTTAATTTGTTTTACTTGTACGTGTGTTATAACAGAGTAAGACATAATTGTTGTTTTAGAGAATCCATGTTCTTTTATGTTTGCCCACATAGATACCATTTCTAATGCTCTTAATTCCTTCCTGTGGTTCCTTTCTTCTATCAGGAATTGTTTCCCTTCAGCCTGAAGAATGTTTTTTCCATGTAGTGAAGGACTGCTTGTAGTGATTTCTTTCTGCTTTTGTTTGAGAAATACTTGATTTGCCTTAATTTGTAAAAGATATTTTCCCCAGGTGTAAAATCCCCAGTTAGCACTTTGTAATGTCTTCTGGTTTCCATAGTTTCTGTTTGAGTGTCTTAACTATGGCCTTTTCAAGGCAATGTCTTTTTCCCTCTGATTTCTTTTGAGATTTGCTTTTTTAAATTATTACTGATTTTTAGTAGCTTGACTATATTAGGCCTATGTGATGTTTTCTTTCATTTTTACTTCACTTGGGTTTCACTGAGCCTTTGGATCTGTAAGTTGGTACTTTCATCAGTTTTGGAAAATTCTTGGCCATTATCCCTTCACATATTGTTTCTCTTATCTCGTTATCTCATCAAATGTTCTCCTTTCCTTCTGGGAGTATCAAGATCATACATGTTCAAACTTTGGACTTTATCCAGCATGTCTCTCTGGCTCTAGTTTATTTTCGTTCTTGTTTTTCCCAGTATTTTTTCTTTTTGACCAGTTTGAAAACTTTCTGTTGACCAGTTTTTTTTCCTGCTGTCTTCTTCAAGGTTTTGTTAAACCTATCAGTGAGTTTTTTTTTATTGATGTTTTAATAATAGTTTTTAACATTGTGAAATTTTGGGTTGTACGTTTTTGTTTGTCCATCACCATATATATGTCTCCCTTTGCCCCTTGTGTCCACCCACCACCCCCATTGCCCCTGGTAACCACAATACAGTTTTCTCTGTCCATGTGTTGGTTTATATTCCACATATGAGTGAGATCATACAGTG